ACAACTATGTGAAAAAGAAGCAGAGGAAAAGACAGAGGAAATATACCAGAAGCATTCGTTCAATGAATATTTATTAAATGTCTGCCATATTCCAAACATCATGCTAGGTGCTGGCGCTGCAACGGTGATCAAAAACACACTGTCCTTGACCTCATGAAAGTTATAAGCCTGTGGGGGAAAAAACAAACATTAATCAAATACCCATGCAGCAAAGGTAAAATTGCAACAGTGACAAGTGTATCAAAGTGGTGGTACATGGTACAGTGAGATTGTAGACAAAATAGTGGGATCTTCTATAGATACAGGTGGCCTGGGAAAGACTTCCTTGAAGAAATGATCTTGAAGCATGAGCAAGAATTTATCTAGTCCAGAAAGTCAGGAAGAAAGTCCCAGGCAGCAGGAACATCGTGTGCAAGGGCCCTGTGGGGGAAGAGGGACTGGCCAGTAAGAGAACGGCTGAATAGAGCGAGCCTGGGGGAGTTGGTGCCAGGTGGAACTAAGAGAGGAGGCAGGGAGCAGACCCCATAAAAGCTTGCAGGCCACCCTTAAGAAGCACTGGGAGTCATTCAGCATATTTGCATTTTCAAAAGATTACTCTGCTTTAGGTGAGCAGGGTGGAATGGTAGGGGTGTGGGAGGAGGCGGAGGGAGAGACAGAGTCAATGGGGAAAGCCAGTTGGGAAGCTATTGCAGGAGTCCAGGCAAGATCTGATGGTGGCTTGGGCTCAACTAATGGTGGTGGTGGAGGTGGAGAGAAATGGATGACTTCAAGAGACATTAGGCAAAACTGCCTGGATTTGGTGATGGAGGGGATGAAGGAGGCGAGGAGAGAGAAGCGTCGAGTTTCTGGCTCGTGTAATTGAATGGATGTGGTGCCATCATCTGAGACAGGGAGAGATGGAAGAAGTCCAGGTTGGGACATGAAGACAGGGCCAATTTGGGGCAGGCTGACTTTGAGGTGCCCTGTGTGTGACATCCAAAAGTGGTGGTGTCAAGTAGACAATAAAAATCAAGAGTTTGGAGTGCAGAGGAGAGATCTGGCTGGAGACAAGCACTTGTGAGTCATCTGTTTATTTGTGGTAATTTAAGCCTGTGTGTGGATGAGATTGTGAGGGAGAAAGTTGAGGGTGGAAGAGAAGATTTAGGATCAGGCTTTGGGGAAGCCAACATCCAAGGCCAAATAGAGGAGGTTGGGATTGCAAAGGAAACCCAAGAAGCCAGAGATGTTAACAAAGGCTGTGGAATGCTATGAAAGTGGTATACTTCTATAGCTATTTTTATAATTGGGTGAAAATTTTTAGATAAAAAGATATTTTTTTATGGCTCCTTGACTTTAATTAACTAACTTTCTAGACTTAAAAAAATAGTACCTGAGGGCAAGAGGTGATATTCAAAATATTTTAAGTAGCAAGACTTCCCAGTGCCAACACTTTGACCGGCAGCTGGAGGAGGGGAGGTCTCAGAGGCCCCTACTGTGCCAGGCATTAACCCTGTGGTTGTGATCATGAAGAAGGCGACAGAGGCTGATGGCAGGGAGTGACATGAAGAGGATCTCAGGACTGCAGCTCTTTAGTGACTGAGCAGAAGCAGTTCCTGCTGCTGGGACTCAGCCCTGCCTAAGGGTCCTCACCAGCAGCAGCCCACCAGCTCCTTGCCCCACCCCACTCTGTGCCTGCTCATTGCCCCAGATGCTAGTCGACCACAACAGCCTGTTCATTTCCTGAGAGCACCTTGCCTTCTCATGTCTCCATGATCTTTCCTGTGCCTGGAATGCCTTTCTCCTCCTTGTTTGGCAAATAACTATGCATATTCGAAGGCCCAGGTGGGCCTGGATGGAACTTGAAAACATCATGCAAGTGAAAGAGGCCAGTGACAAAGGTCCACGTATTATAGGATTCTATTGCTATGAAGTGTCCAGAATTGGCAAATCTGTGGAGACAACAGAAAGTAGATTAGGGGTTGCCTAGCGCCGAGAAGGTTGCGGAGAAAAAGGGAGTGATTGCTAATGCGTACAGAGTTTCTTTGGGAGGTGATGCATGTACTAAAAACCATTGAGTTGTCACCTTACATGGGTGGCCAGGTACATGCCTGTAGTCCCAGCTGCTCAGGAAGCTGAGGCAGGAGGATCACCTGAGCCCAGAGTTTGAGACCAGCCTGGACAACATGAAGAGACCCTGTCGCTACAAAATAAAAAGAATAAACGGGTGAATTGTATAGTATATGAATTGTATCTCAAAAGAACTGATATTTAAAAAACATCTCAGCAGCTCCTCTCACTGTGTCTGATTTTAAGGGAGGCTCCAGTGTTGCCTGCTGGGGAGGAAGGGGGTGCAGTGGGGGTGCGTGTGCAGGGGCATGTGCAGGGGTGTGGCTGGCGTGAGGTGCTGGAAACCAGAAAGACAGAGCGTAAGCGGAAACCAAGTGGAGCCTTGATAATACAACGGGCAGCAGAATATTTCAGAAGGAGGGCTTCTGGTGAAAACGGAAACCACTTCAGTGAAACCAGATTTCAGCAGGAGGCTGAGGTTAGCTTGAAGGGTGAAGTTGTGCTTTGAAAGTGGTGGCTGAGTGTGGTCTCCTCACCTGGCCTGGGAATCTTTTAAGAGGAAAGAATTATGATCTCGGAGAGGGTTGGAATTCTGATATACTTTGCCTGGAAACCCAGCATCCCTAAAGTAAGATGCTTGAAAGGAGGGCAGCTCTCCGCGCCCCCATTCGGGCCCTCCTGAGAGGTGATCTGTCTTAGTGCCGGGCGTGCGGACCCAGGAGCCAGGTTCGAATCCTGCCTCTATGCGTTTGCACCTGCGTTGCCTTGTGCAAGTCACTCAACCTCTCTGTGCCTGCACTTGCTCTACGCTTAGATGGGGCTAGTGATAGCACCTTCCTCATAGGATTGTTGTGAGGATTAACTCAGACAACACGTGAAGAATTTAGCGCAGTGCTCGGTCATGTAAGCACTAGCAGGCAGTCTCTAAAGTGAGAATCTGGAGCCGTGAAACTGGTTGCCAGAGAAGTGGCTGGTGCCAGTCCCGAGTGAGATCTAAGATCGAGGGAAGAGACAGCAGCTGGCTGGGGGTCGGGTGGTGGCTGGGAAATGGTCTGAAGGTTATTAGCAGCCCCATTGCTCAACCCTCTCAGTGGGGCTCATACTTCCTGTTTTCCGTGTCTCGGAGCCCTGGTGCTGGAGCGGCTCAAGTTTGAACAAGATCTTTCGTGGCCCCTGGGGGGGAATGCAGAGGCCACGCAGCAACTCAGCCTGGGCTGGGCCCCTTAGCTTCAAATCATTCCTTTTTCTTTCCTAGGACGTTTTCATTCCCATAAAACAACACAATTCTGAGGTGGGAGAGAGCAGGGAGTTCCCATTCAATGCTACAAGAATTGACTTAGCTTTGTAATAATAGCCACTATTTTTAGGTTTTTATTAAAGGTGCCAGGATTGTGCTAAGAGATGTATGAACTCATGAATCCGTATATCAATCCCAGGAGGTAGATATTATTATCTCTGTTTTACAGGTAAAGAAACCGAGGCACAGAGAGACTAAAAGTCCTTCCCAAGACACACAGCTAGTGTCAGAGCCAGAGTTGCAGTCCAGGCCACCCAACTCCAAAATCATGCTCTGAACCACCGCGTCGCACTGTGTAAGACAACACGGAGATTATGGGGATTAAAAGCTGAACACTCTGGGGTCTTTCAAGGAGCCACAGTCTGGGACGCTCAGGAGACCTTACACCCCCAAAACGCTACTCAGAAACCCGCTGTTGATGCAGAGAACTCATGCTGACCATGTCTGGAATTCGGGCCCTTCATATATTTTGACCAGTTGTTCCCAAAGTGTCCTAATCAGTGGTGCATATCAGAAATACTTGGGAGCTTTTCTGAAACCACAAGCCCTTGGCACTAGCCCTGACCTGCATCACAATTTCTACACGTGGAGCACAGGTATGTATATATTTTTAAAAGGTTCTCAGGTGACTCGGTTAAGAAACACTGCTACAAGCCATCAACACAACTTGGAAATTCCAATATTTCGGCATCCGACTGTATCTCCCAGCCCGCCCCTACGCTCCAGTTCTTCATTACCTGATGTTTCATTCAAAGCATGCGGTCACCCCATTGGACATCGTCCAGCTTTAGATTCTGAGTCCCCTCATCCTGGGGATAGCAGAGGCTGGTCACGAGCTCTGTTAACACTGAGGTCCCCAACCCCTGAGCCGTGGCTGGGTGCCGGTCCGTGGCCTGTTAGGAAACGGGCCGCACATTACTGCCTGAGCTCCGCACCACCCTCCCCACACCCACCACTCCCCACCCCTCCAGCCCTGGTCTGTGGAAAAATTGTCTTCCATGAAACCAGTCCCTGGTGCCAAAAAGATAGGGGAGTGTTGCATCAACACAGTGAGAAAACTCAGCTCCAGCCCCACACACAGATCATGGGAGATTGTTTTCTATTCGCTGAAAGTCACAGACTCAAGCTGGAGTTTTGGATCAGCCATTTTCACTCATGCAAGTGTTCTTCTTGGTTGAGGTTAGCCCAAGGATTGATGAGGGCAGAGTGAAGAGAATGTGGAATACAGTTAATCCTAAAGAGGACCACTGTGTACAGTTGTACAAGTTGTGCACTGCACAAAGGCATCAGGCTGAGGAGGCAATTGGGAGCTGAAACTCAGCCTGCGCACCACTTACCATGCCATGGGCCCCTGGCTTGGGACATCTGTTTGTATTGCATGTGTTATGGAGGCCCTGCCCTACAAATCTAACATCTAACTCCCAAAGCCCCATTCGGCCCAGAGATGCAGCCCCACAAGAGACTGTAAGGTGCATGCCACCCTCATCATTTTCTACTTCTTATGCTCCCCAAATCCCCCCCATACAAGCACCAGGGAGAAGCCAAAGTCTTCAGAAAAATCACATTTTATTGATCAGTTTTATTCAAAATTATAAAAATAGATATAAATAAAAATAGCAGAAAATAGTTATTAAATATTCAGTGTACAGGAGTGGTCCTCATCCCACCCAGTGAGGATCGGATGAACGAGGCTGAAAGGTAAAAAGGGATAACTGGCCATGAAAGCAACATCTGTGCGACAGTGAAACCGAGCCATTTAAGTGCTGGTCACAGGTCATGCCCAGAATAATATGTTCACAGGCATCATCACGTGGGGGACCCAAGGCCCTGAGAGTGACGCAGAACCTCTCCAGACAGACCATCCTGTGTGGCATCACAGTTCATACAGTTTAGGGGAATCTCTAGACTTGCAATCAGACACCAGCTCTTACTCACACTCACGCTCACACTCAGCCGGTGCACAAGTGTGCAAAGGTACACATATACATAATGTTTCCTGACACACTCGTACAATGTCAGAGCCTGTCCCTCAAGTCATTAGTGTCTCTAGTCCCCAAACTGCTGTTCCCACATTGGTCAAGCTCCCTCAAGAGACCTCAGCTGTTACACTTCCTAATTGGGAAATTATTCATTTCTCAACAATGGGCCTCACGAATGCCCATTGTCGGGGGAGCTGACTGTCCTTCCAGCCATGCACAAGAGATGCCATTTTTAGCTCCTGAAGGCTTTAGTCTAGAAAAAGACAAACGACTAGTCAATACTATCCTGAGTCAGGACGCCCCCTCCATCCTAGCCAGGGGGTCTGGGCGGCCAGCACCCAGGCCTGCGTCTGAGGATAAAGCAATTGCCACTCGCCCTGGCGGGCAGCGCGAAAAAACCATCTCTGCAGAGCCTGTCTTCCCAGTCTCTTCTTCCAGCTGATGGAGATGACCCTACTGCAAAAATGACGGTCAGCGAGGCAGTAGGTGGTGCCCGTTTCCTCCCTCAGCTCCCTGGGGGCCCTCAGAGGCTGTTCTCTTCCCCAGTGTGAGCGCGGATCCAGGGCAGGAATCGTGAGACCCTGGTGTAGACGCCCGGCTTGTCCTTCAAGGCACATCCGCGGCCCCAGCTCACAATCCCAGTCAGAGTCAGGCGGCCTCGGGTGGAGCAGATGAGGGGGCCCCCAGAGTCTCCCTGGAAAACCAAAGACACAAAACAATGAGCCCTGGGACAAGGGAGGAGGGGGCCTTCCGATCCCACCACCCAACCACGCCTGAGAGACAGGGGAGAGTTTCCTAGAGTCAAAGTCCTCAGTGGCTCCCTGTTTCCTACCACATCAAGTTCAAAATGCTCTGCTGGCTTTCAAAGCCTGTCACCTGCCACTGTGCCATCTACACTCCCGGACCCTGCCTGTCCTCCCCACCCTGGACATACCCGGCTCCTTCAACGTTTTGTATATTTCAACTGAAACACCGTCTTTACTTCCCTCCACCTCCTCAAATCCCCATCCAGTCACATTCTCCTTAAAGCCTCCCCTCCCTGGCGGCCTACTCGCCACTCGCCTCCCTCTCCTAAACGCCTGGTCATTTAAAATTCACACCACACCCTGAGCGCTGAGCTATACTGTCTTCTACTCTTTCCTCCTTCTATGGTCTTAGTCCCCCCGCCAGTCTGAAGTCCCCAGCACACAGCTGGGCTCATGACGTTTGGCAAACAAATAAGAAGTTGGCTCCTGATTCTGGCTTCCTGGGGCTTTGGCTATAGAGAGACTCCCCGATGCTGGCAGGGACGAGCCCAGGAGCGCTGGGGAGATTTGGGGGTGATGGAAAGAGATGCTTGGAACTCCCACCTGGCAGGAATCCGTTTCCCACTGTGGGTCGGCGGCACACAGCATTTTGGAAGTGACTTCAGAGCCATAGTAGTGGGGCTGCTGGCACTCCTGGTGGGAAATCAGCTTCACAACAGTCATTTTCAGCTGCTCTGGATACAGATAGTCGGCTAGGTGGAGGGAAGCGGGAGGAGTTCGTGTTAAGATGTGTCTGTCCATTGGGACTCTCAGCCAGGGAGGGGAACAAAGTGTCGCTACCAGGGAAAGCCCCATTCCTTTCCACCCAAATCTGAGCCTTTACCCCACTTATAGCCCCTCACCCCCATCTACTCACCCTTGTGGCCCATCACTCCCTAAACAACGCCCCCACTCCACCCCGGACCCATCTGCCACCCCATGGAGCTCCCATGTCTGACTCCACAGTCTTCTCTTGATCACGCCGGGCTCACTTCCAGGTCACGACACTCCCCCAGGACCCTCAGTCAGCCCCAGATGTCACTTACTGTGATTCTCTTTTCCAAAGCCCGTGATCTCACAGCTTGTGCCAAAATGAGCGTCGCCGTACATCGGGGGCAGGCAGATGGTCTGTATGGACCGGGAGGGCTGCGCACACTGGCCCCCACTGGAACGGATCTTCAGCAAGGCTAGGGCAGGAGAGACGGTCCGAAGGGAAAGATTAGCGCCTAGTCAGGTGGTGCCCATCTCTCCCCTCCAAATGCTGAGGGAGTGTCTAAGTCTATCCCTAGGTCAGTTATGGTCAGAGGTCATCCAGGGATGTCTGATGGTAGCTTGTCACCTGAAGCCCCCCATCCCCCAAAGGACTTTGCTCCAGCTGCTGACAAAGGCTGGGACAGTCAGGGCTACCACATATAGGTATACAGGTTGACATATACAGAATTGAGGGGGAAACAGGTTGTTTCCTGCAAAAAGCCCCTGCCGAAGTAGCTGGGCTGAAATCCAGCCCAAGCCTGTCTTCTCCAAGTTCCATATCCTGGTACCGACAAGGGCTGCATCCAACAGAGGAAGGAATGTCTAATTCCCATAAACAGGGCATTCCCAGCCCAAGCCTGGGCTGTCTCCACTCAGAAGAGGCTAGCTGTTTGGGATATTCGGGGTCTCTACGGAGAGGCACCAGGCCCCTCACGTACTCCACTCTGAACTCTTCCCCTCCGCTTCCTTTGTTGCATAAAGTAGGGGCTTCAAGTTCCCTGATAGCCTCAACCTCTTCTCGGGTCTCTCCTTGGAGCCCCCTCTCCCCAAGCCGCCATCATCATGGCGGTGAGGGTTTCCCACTCACCAATATCGTTATGGTGAGCAAGAGTGTCAGCACTGTAGTCCTCGTGCAGGATGAGCTGTTCCACCTCAAACTTCATCTCCCCAGGCGTATTGGAGTTAAGTTTCGACCGGCCCAGGTAGACGATGTAGTCCTCCTCCTTCCGTGGGTAGTTACTGTGGGAGGTGACACCTGTCAGAGAGCTTGTTCTCTTGAAATCCTGTCCCCTCCTCCCCACCTTAGAAGCCTCAAAGCACGCTTTGTCCCCAAGGCGATGGGACACATGGAGAGGGGCTGATGAGGGAGAATTGAGGGGGAATCCTTTGCTGGGAAGGAGAAGGGCGTGGGGCAGGAGGGTCAGAGAGAAGAGACAGAGGACGTACATGAAGCAGTGCGTGGCGCTGAGCACCCAGCAAGGGCTGATGAGGCTGCCTCCGCACACATAGCTGACGGAGCCTCCCCGGTGCCTCCTGTAGATGGCTGCAAACCAGGGCTGGTTCTCAATGGTGGTGAATTCTCCCCCGACAATCTTAAAGCGGGGCCTCAGAGCCTTCTGGCCACACTGAAACTCCAGTTGTTCTGGAGGAGAGAAGGGCCTTGTTCCTGGAGGATAAAAAAAGGGATGTCTTGAGGAGGCAGGTAGGACAATGCATCCCTCTCAGGCAGCATCCCTCCTCACCCTTCCTGTGATGGAATACGGGGACATTTGAGTTTGTCCCCTTCCACGCCACTGTCACAGGCAGGTCAGTGACACTCACCAGCAGAACAGTCGGGCACCTTGCACTCTTGGACAATCTGCTTTAGGCCAACCTGCACGTAGCACCAGGGCCGCCTCTGGTTGTCTGGGTTCCTGGCAACACAGAGGGATAGGGGTGTCATTCCAGCCCAGAAAGCCTTCCCTCCATCCTCCCCTCCAGGCAAGACTCCAGCAGAGGCCTCGCTTTTCTCATGCTATGACCTCTGGGAGCAGAAGGGGATGGTGACAAGGGTTTCTGAGGCGTGGGGAGGGCTCTTGGGCCTTGTCGCCCCCACCTCACCTGCAGTAATTGTGTTTCCCCAGGCCCAGCTGAAGGGCGTCAGGTCTGTGGGCATGGTATGTTTGCAGAAAGACAGGGTTAGAGTTCCAGGCCAGGCAGGGTCGGCCCATGATGTCGGTGTTGGCCTTTCCTCGGTAAAAGTGACCATTCCCCTGATAGCAGGTTTTTGCTGTATCTATGGAAAGACATTAGGACAAGAGAATATTAGAAAGAAGAAAGTTCAGACAGGTATTTTAGAGATTACCTGATTTCAGACCTGGCAGAGAACACTAGAAAGGGTCTCCTTCTATCCCCATCTCACATTCGTGGAACCACTGCTTCATGAGAGTGTGTGTGTGTGTGTGTGTGTGTGTGTGTGTGTGTGTGTGTGTGTTTACCTTTGATTGTGTATGTCACATAGAGATGACGATGTCACCCACCCTATCTGTAGCTCCTGACTCCTGCCTGCTCTTGCATCCCACCCATCTCTCCTTGCCCCCAAATCTCTGGTGCCTCCACCTTCCCAGTTAGAGCCTGGATCTCCATACCTATCTCGCAGTGCTCCCCTTGGAATTTCTTTGGGCAGTTGCATCGCCGAATGTTGGAGAAGTACTTGTAGGACACACATGTTCCTCCATTCAGACAGCCGCAGTTCGCTGGGGAGCACAAAGGTGGGATAAGCAAGGAGCTGGGGAGGAGAGGGGGCAGGGGGAGCCAGCCCTGCAGCAGGGGTTGGGGGGTGCCCCCTGAGGCTTTTCCAGGATGTCTGTGCAGCCAACTATCGTGCAAGGGGTGGATACTCACATGCATCAGACACTCGACGAAGTTCATGGCTGCCCTGGAAGAGATTGGGGGACGGGGTCACCAAAGGTCCCAGGCTCCTGGGACTCCAGGGTGAGGATAAACTGGCCCCAATCCCCAAACCCACTCTTCCTTCCAGCTCCCTCTCTCCTCAACCTGTTCATATCTAACTAGCCCTCTGATGAAAGATCGTGGGTTTCCAGCAGGGAGAAACGGATTGACTCAGACAAGCTTCACATACCAGGTGCCCTCAGGCTGGGGCAGTCCCTGGGTCTTCTTCTTGCCTCGCCAGGAGTGCGGTCCCCTTGGTTCTAAGACCCCCTGCTGCCACACCTGTCCTGTTTCCCCAGGAGAGGCTGGCGCTGCAGTTGATGGAATCCGGAGGACTCCAGCTCCCTATGCAGCCCCTCCCCTCCCCTGGCGCCGTGCAGAGGTCCTGCAAGCCCCCTCCTGCGACATTAAGTCAGAACCGGGCAGCCACTCACTTTGGAGCCGCTCACGACCGGGACGCAGAGGAGCAGGCACGCCAGCAGGACTCTCATGGTGGCGAGGTTGGGGCTCTGGACAGACAGCGGCTCTGCAAGGGAAGGAGAAGTGAGGGCAAGAAGCGGAGGAGCGAGAAGGCGGGTTCTGTGGGTTACTGACGTGCTGGGGAGGAGCCCGCGGTGCCCAGGCTCCCCAGCCCCGCAGCCCCTCCGCCCCGGGGGCTCCGGGCTCCCGGCGCAGCCTGGCCGCGCACCCTCAGGGGCACGCACGGAAGGGGAGCCGTGACTCGTGCAGCCCCGGCAGCCCGCGGTAGGGGGAAGGGAGGCGCGCCCGAGCCGGGCCGCCGCGCATCCCGCCCGGGGCTCCTGGGGCCGCCGGCACTCACCAGTGGCTGCGGCGGGAGGGCGCGGGCCGGCACTGCGGGGACAGGTTGGCACCAGGCCGGGCTCTAGGGCTCCAGTCTCCGCGCTGTGCCGCCGGCCGGCGACGCGGGCTCTATATCAGGACCGCCCAGCCCCGGCCCCGCCCGCCGCGGCGCCCGCTCCACTCCCTTCCCTCCCCTTCCCGGCTGCCGGCAGTAACCGGGACCCCACGTGCTTCCGCAACTTTGACAAAGTTGGGGTGGCAGCGCGATCCCCAGCGGGGGCGAACGGAGTCTGGACCGAGGGATAGAGAGGCATGTCAATTCCGCGCCCTTCCTGCCTTTCGCACGGCCGTGGGCCCCGCGCCGGCGCAGGGACCGCCCCGTCCCCCGAACTGCAGAGAAGAGAGGGCGCTGGAGACTCCCTTCCCAGCGCAGCTCTGATTAGGACCTGCTTTGGGGTCCCCTAATCAGTTCTTCTCCAACCTCTCCGCCCTCGTCCCCCACCTGCCCAAGAGTGATTCAGACCCCTGGGTGTAGGGGCAGAGTCCGCAGCTCACGTAGTTGCAAAGTCTCTTTGTTGATGTGAAAATTGCAGGTGACTTCCTCTCCCTGAAACACAGACACAGAAGCCTGCTAACAGGGGCCGCCTCTGCCCAATGCCAGGTCACCAAATGCCACCAACACACCAGTGGGTAAGACAAAGCTGAGTTTATCACTTAGGTGGTAAGGGAGTTTGGTTGTGTTATCAGATGGGGAAAGGCAAGGACAGGTTTACTGAGGATTTGCAGTTGGTTTAAAGTCAGTCTTCGAAAGTGGGGGATTGATAAGGATTGAATAAGGGTCATGACATGATATCGTAGGATCCTGAGAGCAAAGTCCTAGGGCACAAATTGTTGATGCTTCTTATTGAAGCGTTGACGGGTCTTGGGAAGTTCCTATAATGAACAATCCATATTTTCCCTTTATAATTAATAAAGTTAATTATAAAGACAATGGAATAGTAAAGACTTATTATTGTAGACAGTAAACTGTGGAGGGGTAGGATGTTCTGGTCTCACCTCTGAGGAGTGGGGACTGGAGGACAAGATGAGAGGGAGATTTCCTTTTCACTGCATGTCCCTTTATACTGTTTACATTTTTAAAACACATCCATGTATCACCCATTCCAAAAAGATAATCATACATTTGTAAATGTATGTGCATTTAGTATTCTACTTCCTCAGACAGCCTTGTTTCTATTAAGATAAAAACAATTGTTTATCAAATAAAATTGGCCTCCAGAAAGACAGGCCATGCGTAAATGATTCCACCTGCCCTTCCTGTGTGAGGATGAGCACACGCATTTCTGTACAGACACACACACACATACACACACATGTGCGCGCACACGCATCCCATGGGCACAGTTGCAGGAGCACAGCGGGCACTCTGTGGTTCAGTCACCCTCATCTCTTTCTGCTAGTGTCAGGAACTAGCAGAAGTGGTTGGAGTCACTTCAGTGCCACCTGGCAGGACTGGCTCCCTTAACAGGAGGAAGGAGGCTGAGTTCCTATAATTCATTAGAGGCCCAAGGGTTTGGTCTCTTTCCCTGCCTAGGCCTGCAGCATTTTGCTGCCTTGCAAACCTGGACCTTGGGTCTGGGTCCACTTGAGAGGGGCAGAAGGAAGGCAGGGAGAGCACCAGAGAGCAGAAAGGAGGAGGGTCCCTTTGCTCCACCCCAGCCAGAGGTCTCAGGGTGCCAGCCGCTGGCTGGGGAAAGTGCAAGTTAACCATCCAGTCTTAGGGATGCAAGTGACCCATTGTCCTCTGGAGGGAGTTTTGCTGTGCCTGCTGACACAGGGGGCAGACTGAGTCAGATGAGCTATAGGCCTCAGAGCTGGCCTTGCTACTTCCTCTAGAAGACTGTGGCCAGTTTTGTTTGAATTTGAGAACTCATTAATTGTAAATAAACGTGATCAAAATGTAAACAGAGATGTTGCAGCCTGAGGACTTACCCCGAAACTCCTAGGTTAGTTATCAGGAAATTCCCAGCGGCTGTCGTGATTCACGTTGCTCCCCCCAGCAGCTCTCATGACTCCGGATTACTTGGCTGGAGGCTGTCATGCTGATTCTCCAGGGCAGGATGACTTCATTTCCTCCTGGACAAGGGCGAGGAGACCAGACCGTTATGCAGTATGACACCCCTCCTCCCCCTCCTCCCCCTCCTCCCCCTCTTCCTCCCTCCTACCATCTCTTCACCTAGCTCCTCCCACTCTTCACAGAACTTCCTTAATCCACTCACTGATCTTGGTGCTCTCTGAAATCTCTGTGACCATCTTTTTGTGCACTGTCTGTGCTAGACTTTCAGTTGCTTGAGGGCAAAGATCACGTCTTAATTATCTTTGTCTCTCCCTCAGCACTTGGTACATGCCTTGTTCATGTAGGTGCCTTATTGTGACTGAATCAGTGCACGAGTAGGAAGAGAGAGCTTTAGGGTACCTGGAAGGTTCCCTCCTCTGTCTTTTTTTCTCTTATCATAAAAAATAGTACCAGCTTGTACTGTTTTTTGTAATGTATTTCTTTTTTGTGCTTAAAGGCGCTTCGTTGTAAACCATTCCTCTTTAACCTCATATCTGCCTTGTGATGTAGACCAGGATGGTTGTTCCCATTTTACAGATAAGGAAAATGAGGTGGAGAGATGAGACCTAGTTGATGAATGGCAAAGCCACCACTAGAACCCAAGTCTTCTGATCCTTGTTCCTATGCTCTAGACCTCACTGTCTCCATGAACACAGAATGCTACAAAAGAAGGGCCAGGTAGTGTTAGATGTTCCAACTCAGGGGATCCCTCCTACAGACTTCGGAGACCTTCCTCTAGAAATGCCACTCAAACCATGGATTCAGAGCTCCTAAGACGCCCTCCCTGCCACGTAAGTTAGTTCCTTGCCTGAATTCCATGAACTGACTTTGGGTCTAGGCTAGCTGAAATTTCTATCGACGGTAAAAATAAGGAACCAGGCCAGGCGCGGTGGCTCACACCTGCACTCATCCTAGCACTCTGCGAGGCCGAGGCAAGCGGATCGCTTGAACTCAGGAGTTCGAGACCGGTCTGATGAGCAAGGGCGAGACGCCGTCTCTACTCACAATAGAAAGAAATTAGCTGGACAACTAAAAATATATAGAAAAAATTAGCTGGGGATGGTGGCACATGCCTGTTGTCCCAGCTACTCGGGAGGCTGAGGCAGGAGGATCGCTTGAGCCCAGGAGTTTGAGGTTGCTGTGAGTTAGGCTGACGCCACGGCTCTCTAGCCCGGGCAACACAGTGAGACTCTGTCTCAAAAAAAAAAAAAAAGAATAAGGAACCAAATGTGTGTGATTTCATTCTTTTCCTGATTCCTAGAATGAAGCCACCCACCTCCTGCCTCTGCGGCTCTGGGGACCAGGCCCCCTGAGTCAGATGTGGCAACAGAGACGGATGGAGAGGCTGCCTTTCCAGAGCTGCTCATAAACGGGCGAGCAGATGCCAGCTGGGCAGGGAGGGGCAGGGTATCCGAACCTGGCCCTGAGACTGTGTCCAGGAAACTAGGCCTCGGAAGGGCTATTTTCTAACCAGCTTGACCCAAAGGGAAGTTCCCATGGAGTCATAGGATGTATTCCGGGGTTGCTATACAAAGAATATTCAGCATGGTACTATAGACAGACCACCGTGTCTAGCCATGAGTCTGCCACATCCAAGTTGAATGATCTTAGTCAAATCGCTTTACTTTTTTGATCTCAGTTCTCCCTTTGGTAAAATGAAGCAACATCTGTCCTATTGTGCCTCATTTTGCAGATTGAATGAGATCATGCTTGTGTGTAAAAGCACTCATTCATTCCTTTATTCATTCAGTATTTATCATGGACCTACTATGTGCCAGGCACAGTTCTAGATGCTAGAGAGAGGAGGATGAACTTTGTAAACTGTAATTCCTAGCTCAAGTGCCCGCCTTCCCTTCCTGACTATGGCTGTGTTGGCCCAGAAGAGCAAGTCATGCTGGAGTCCATTCCAGGATTCCAGTTAAGTGGGGATGCCGTGTCCTTGGACAGCAGTTCCCAGCAACTAGGCAGCCAGGACACACAGCTGCATGTGCTACTCACCCACAGCCCTGACTCCCACCCCCGCTCCCTCCTCTCTGTGGCTCTGCGTGGCATGACCCTCTTCTCTCTCCCTCCTACACACAGGGCAGATGGACTCCTCGGTAGTTCTGGGAAGGAGGCACATAGCTTCCAAGAGTCTGAGGACCCCCTTCCGCCTGTGTGTTTGGGGCGAAGGGTGAAGCTGGCTGGCAACAGCAGGCAGGGAGAGCCACTTCTGGGCCTGTAATGCAATAGGGGAGGTGCTGGAGCTGCTGGGCCCCCAGCGGCCTGTGGAAAGGGTGGAATGAAGTCACATACTTGCTTCCTTACTCATGGAAAGCAAAGAGCCCAGGGGCTGGACCTGAGGTTATACTCTGTCGTCAATAGCACCGTGCACGGGGAGCCAAGTCGGTCCCTCCAGCATCAGCCTATGACCCCCTAACCCACCTCGCCCTTTCCCACCTCACCATCTCTGGCCTGATTCCTAGGCCCACCCAAGCCAGTCAGGTCAGACCTCTCCTTGAATATCTTGAGCCTTGGCCAAATTTTTCTTTGTCCCTAACCCAAACTCAGTTACTACCCAAGTCAGGAACTCATTACCTCAAAGGAGTATTGGTCATGACTTTGCAGACCTTCTGGATTCTGAGTTCCTCCCCAGGAACCAAGGTCAGGCCCTGGTCCTAGAATGTCTGCTTTTAGCTCAGGTTACCATGTTGGATGGCGATAGATTGGTTAACTGGAAGCTGAGGGGCATACCCAAGAACAAGGGGCTGGGATGGCTACCCACAAACTGGTGGGGGGGTTTGCTGAAGACTGCCAAGAATTTGATAATGTTTAGGGAAATATGTTGAGGCAGCAGCTGAAATACTAAAAAATTCTTATCAGAAGAAAACCAACATAACATCCATAACCCACATGATGTATAACTTCTCCCAAGCTGGACTCTATATGCTTCTCCGTCTTCCAAGCAAGTGCAAGTACTCCCCCTTCCATTACACAGAAAGGAAAATGGAGGCTAATGAAGGGAAGTGATTCATCT